GACCCCTTCGGCAACTACGTCGTTCAGTACATCATTGACTTGAACGAACCTCTGTTCACCGAGCCTATTGTTCTTACCTTCAAGGATTGTATCACTCAGCTGTCCCGCCATAAGTTCAGCTCCAACGTCATCGAGAAGTGCCTGCGCTGCGCCCAGCCACCTTCCAAGGATCTGATTGTGGAGGAACTACTACGCAACCAGGAGATGGAGCGCCTCCTCCGGGACTCATTCGCCAACTATGTCATTCAGACTGCTCTCGAGTATGCTACTCCTCATCAAAAGCATCGCCTTGTAGAGGCCATCCGCCCCATCCTTCCCCAGATTCGAACAACTCCCTACGGCCGTCGTATTCAAGCTAAGATCTCGGCCTTCGACAACCGTGGAAGCGCTGCCTCAAGTGGGCAAGTGACACCAGCCGACAACACCCAGGGTCAAATTCCTATGCGCGCTACTCACGCTCGAGGTATTTCTGGAGGTGCCCCTATTCTCCAGGGCAATGGTATGCCTCACAGTGGGCCTATGCCACCTATGCGCCAGAACATGCCCATCTACTCTCCCAACCCCGCCATGAACGGTCAAGCTCCCACTTCTGGAGGACCTGTTCAGCAGCCTCAGTACGGACAGATGACTCCTGGCAATTTTGCTACCAATGCTGCTGCCAACGGTGCAGCTAATGGCAGCACCGGTAACAGTAACTTTGCTGGCCAAGCCAGTGGCAACAGCGGCCCTACGAGCCCTACCAATGGCAATGGAAATGTCAGCACGGGTCAGGGCGAAACGCAGTGGCTGTAGACTTGTGTCTTGACATTTTTATAGACCTGTGTAAAATGACGTTCATTATGGCTTTCAGTGGTACCGCAAGGTCGGCACCGCCATGATTCACGATTTTCCTTTGATCTGTTTCACCACGTCTCAGAAGCATAGCCAAAAGGGCGCAGGCCCATCGCGATCGATTGACACGACAGCCTTCAGGGCCTTGCCGTGTGTACATTATCAAAAGGGCGCTATAGGACTACAGCCGCTTATCCTGGGGCCACTGCTTTTCGTGTGCTTTGCTTGGGGAGAATGGCTGCGCACATGAGGGTATGGGCATCAAGATTAAGGCGTGTACATGTATTTGGATCGGCGAGATCACAATCATCAGACATCGGCATAGACGATTCAATTCTTTTCGGACCTATTGGTTTTCTTTTCCCATTTGCTTGCGAATTCGACTCGGGAACGATTCATGTTTAGGTTGTATGACTTTAGGGAAACGATGATTTATTGCTTTCTACTGGGGAATAAGAGGTCCTTGTGGAGGTGCCAGTCTGTTGGCCTGGGAGAGGAGGGAGCCCCTACCTGCATTTAGACTAGGTCTTTGAATCAGGGTTGCTTTAACTTGCATGGCTTCCAATATGTGAATGTCTTGGCTGTGTCTGTGATTGCCTTTCCAGTAGTGTCAGCCAGGATTGCACAGGTTGTAGTCTCCTTTTCCATGATACAAAACCAAGTCGCAAGATCAGCATATATAACATGACTGAGCTTATGTGGTTCTGTGCAATATGACGACATTCGACTGATGCCTGATCACTGTCAAAGGTACCATTGCGTTCTATCTACAATACTAGGATACGTGCTTCAAAAGAAGGCCAACCTTTCGGTGCTCAGTTTTTTCTGGGACAGGCAACGCTACATTATTCGATAGCCGATGACTTAGTACTTGTGAGAACATCTTGTCGCAATTAGACGAGGCGAATGTATATGCCTTCGTTACAAATATCAAAAACTGTAAATTCACTACTTTCAATGCTTACACCTCAGTGTCCTGACATAAAACATGAGCCAGCCCCCTTTAACTCCATGCAAGATCCATGACCACGCTATGCAATGAAACATGTACGATATGATATGATCATCAATAATCACTCAGTCTCAGCTTCTTTCCAATGTCACGGCGGCGAGCCTGAGCAGCTGCAGCCCTGTCTGAAGCGCGCGTATCGGCCGACTCAAAATGTTCGTTGCGAGCCTTGAGAGCTTGTAACAGCATACCAGCATCGAAGAATCCATCTAGTTATCAAGTTAGTACATTGTGCCGAGAGCTTGAGGTTAAAAGAGGATAAACTTACACCCGCCCATTTCGTCATCTTCACTAAAGGTGCTACTCTCGTTGGTGGGGGATGTTGTGCCAGTCGCAGATCGCAAGCTCTCAACAGCTGTGATGGGACGACCTCTAGACTTGATGCGGCTCACGAGCTTGGGTCTCTCGATTTCCACCTCGCGAGCGCGGCTCACTTTTCCGGTTGACATCTTGCGATTATCGATACGTAGAATGCGACGGACCTCAAGAAGATAGCTCTCGAGCGTGTCAACAAAGCGTTTTGTCTGACGGTGTTTGCTAGCAACACATATAGCGAGCCCTTCATCCTTGATGATATACCCGATACCGAAACCATCTCCTGATGTGGGACCGAAACCGAACTGGCGAAGACAAGGATTACCACAGTTGGAAGTCGAAAGGATTGTGTTATTAAGCTTATCCCACCCAGAATCAGCAAACAGAAGGGGAAGTGGGTTCTGGTCGCGCGATCTCGAGTTGACGCTGTAGCCGCGATCTCGTGTAGGCCTCACTTCGACGCCGTCAACAGAGGGGAGCGAGTCGTTACCTGGGCTTCCCACGGGCGATCCTGCTTGGTCGGAATATCCATCTCCAGGGCTAGAGTAGCCATTGCTGTTAAAACCACTGTCAAGATCATCATCCAAACTCCTCTGCCATACAGAGAACAAAGCGTAGAGATGTCGGTCACAGCCTTCGGCCTTCAAACACTGTCGGGTATTTGCGGTATGCTTCTGGCACGCCTTCCTGAGTGCCTCAATCTTGGCGTCGACAGGATTATCAGCCCAGAAGGCTTGGACGAATTCAACAACCTCTGACGACACGGTTCTGATCGCCTCGGTTCGGCCGTGCAGGAACGTCTTGGTCATGGCTGGCTCGTACGTACACTCAACACGACCGTAAAGCCCATAGTATGCAGCTTGGAAGGCCATCTGAACAAACGCATCTGGAGAGAAGCCCATGGAAGTGATGAAATTCTTTCCATAGTGGCCGAAGTCCAAAGTCTGGAACTCGTTTTGCTCAATGAGATCTGCCAATCGAGTCTCTGCAAAGCGAACTGCGACACTGAGCTCAGGGATCATATCCCACTCCAGCTTTCGGGGAGTGACACTGACATCTCCAAAACTCTCAGGATCACGCTTGGAGGGATCAGGACTGGAAGATGCCCAGAGCGAAGGAGCCATGCCATTGATTGTACGGGCGAATCGAAGAATGGTGTCGGTGTAAACATCACTAGCAAATCGAAGAACTGTGTGGCCGTCGACGCCGGTATGCTCAAAGTTGATACCAGCACTTCCGTTCTTGCAAACAATGATCTGAAGCTTGTCGTACCATCGGTTGGTACATGTGCCGATCTGAACACCTTTCTCGATCTCGCTGGTACCGCAAAGCATGTTCTGGCAAAGGGCTGCAGCGTCTGCAGGTTCTGTGTAGTCGAGGCAAAGAACAAAGAGGGCCGTGTCGACAATTCCGAGTGAATCCGCATTGTTGGAGCCAGGCTCGCTGGTCAGGACATCTCGAAGGCCTGACCATACCTTGCGGTTCTCGGTGCTCAGGACTCCCACGGCGCCTTTGGCAGCGTCTTGGATAGGAACTTGGGTTGCGTCATCAACAATGGTCTGCAGGTTGATGGTGATATCCTTCTCGCTCATAATGACATCTGAGTTGTCATCCAAGACATCGAACCAGTAGAATTGTCCGTGACACATGACGACGATATGCTTCGACTCAGGATCTTGCTCGATTTGGCATCCCTCCTCAGTTGGAACTCGCGCAGTGCCAAAGAGTCTCGAGAATTGGTACATGCAAAGCGGAGTTCCCTTGACCTTGTCTGGAGCAAGCTCCTCCTTTCGTACTGCACGAACGAATTCAAGCGAGGAGACGACCAAAGAAGCAGCACGAGTGACTTGATCATTGCGAGCGGGAGTTGGGTCATCTTCAAGTAAGAAGAAGGGGTTCAAGTTGAGAACAACAGGGTTATCAAAGTTGAGATAAGAATCATACCCTGTGAGAGTTAGTGCTTTGCTATAAATCAGATGTATTTCTCGACATACAGAATTGTTCAATGTAGCTCGTCTTGCCCTGAGCATATGCCTTCAATTTCTCCTGTAGCTCCGGGCCATCACTCTTCAGGAATTCGTTTACGGCATGCTGTGTCTCTGCGTGTTCCCGGGCCGTCTGGAGTGGCTTGAGAGCTTCAAGATACCGCTTGCAGGTGGCCTCGAGTTCGGGGATGGGAAGCTTGGGCAGTTTGTCCTGCCCAGAAAAAGTGATGCCACCATCTTTCCGTGACTCGTTGTAGTTTGCCATTGGAACACGAGTATAGTCGCCGCTAAGTCTGGGGGGAGAATTGCGTCGTGGTTGAGCAAGCTCTGGAATATCGGGAAGAGTTCGAGGAACAGTAGAACCAGCAGGGTTTGGAGCAGAAGTTGGGTCAGAGAGCCTGTCTCCAAGAGGCTGAGGAGGAGTGAAAGTGCGGACTTGAGTCATGGTGTTAGTCGGGGGTGATGGAGACGAAGTTTAGGCGTAGAGAGGTGACACGCTTGTGCTAATGTTGAGTCCGCGGAGAGCGGTTCGGTAGAAGTAATGACAGCCCTCTTGTAGAAAGTAGTTTGGCATAACACGAAGTGCTTTCTTGAAAGGGAGAAGGTGAGTGATGAATACAATAGCCAAGGCCAGCCCAAGTTGAGAGGGCATACGGCTCTGATATAAGCAGGATACTGTGACCGAGCTGACTTAGACAAGAGTCAAGTGGACCCTACATGCACCCCATGCACACCCTCTGAACTTCACCCTCAGTGTACAGAATACTGGGGTAGCCGAATGTAAGGGAGAGCATCTTGGGGAGTGAAAACAGCCGACGGCTATGATAGGACAAGAAGGCACAACAAGGGATTTGGCAGTAATGAACCGCCTCCGCAAGTCCGATAACAACAAGTGCTCAGTGCCGAAACGTGGGATCAGGGAATATCGAGGCAAATGGGGCTGGCATAGAACTTACCCAGAACAGGAGAGAATGCTCAGTACAGAAAAGCGAGAAATCCCCGAGAGACGAGAGCCGGTAAAGATGAAATCGGTGCCGGATTTGGAGCCCGTATCGTGATGGTTATAAGGGGATAAGACCGGGATGAAGACAATGAGGCTACCCAGTAATGAATCTTGTAAGGACAACCGCGTGGCGTGCAGAAGCGAAGATGGTGCAGTACCTGGCTACGTAGTGCCTAGACTAACTAGAGCCTAGGAACCGTTCGCCTTGAGGCGTCGCCGGTTCAGAGTGTGAGTTTTACCGTTACGGACGTTTCCCGAACAATAAAGTGATAAGGTTGGTGGTTCGGACGACGGGATGTTCAGAATATGGTTGCCAGACACAACCGTGACGGCAAGGTAGAGTTGATAGATCGAAGCCCAGACCGGAAAGGATCCACTATCAAAGGTAGTTGGAGGTAAATGGACTGCTTCTGACTGGCTGAATTATGCTATATCTTGAACGCTTCCTCAAACGTCGCAACGGGGAGTGGCCGGCCAGCAATCAAAGAGGCAAAAAAGCCTTGATGATAACCCCAAACCCCAGATTTCAGTAAGCGGCTATGATGAGGGGAAACCGCTCAGTTGGGGCCCTTTCACGTGGCCAAAGAAAGAAGAAAAAAGCACTTGTACTGTGTGATTGCTTGTCTATCTGTCTTTCTGCATGCACGCGGTATTGTGAGGTCTCAAAGGGACAGTCAAGCGCTTGTGTCTGATGATCTGGTGTCCTCTATCGGAATTTGGAGGTGCGTGGTGCACCATGGTTAGCTGTCATGGGTGAGCTAAAGTGGACAGCTCGTGGAGAGCAGCAAATCGCAGCATCATGCGCCGCACTTGTCGTCTGGGCTGACGATGGTTGGCGAGGCTCATTCTTTCATCATTTCATTTCATTTCTTCTTAAACAGTTGAGAAGAAGCTTGTTGTCTTCTAGAAGTCGTCTGTGATACTTGAACTGTTGCTCTCCAGATTCTTCTACTATTTCGCCATCCATGGGTAAGAAAGACAATTGCCTAAAAGAGCTTGTGATGGTTTTCGGTGTGCGGCAAGAACAGAGCACATGCCATGGGCAAACGACAGACTGGAAACCTACGATTGCCCGTGTAAGCTAGGTGTGTAATTTTCCGGGGTCTCTTGGCATTCCCGAGGGCCAACGGAGCCCGGCTGTCGATAGTTTTTGGCAGTCTGGATCTGTAACGGGTATAACGACGGAGAAATATTGGTACTCGATAGCCAGGGCCTATTTCGGTTCGGTCTAAAGGACGGCAGTGATAGAGCTTATTTCGTCATAGCTATGCTCCAACACCTTGGCTCTCTCGCTCCCACAGTGGAGAGCAACACATCGAATGCGGGATCGCCGCAGCTGCAGCCGCAGCCGCATCCAGACGCCAGACTTTTGAGGTTTCAGTGCGAGTGGATAAAATAAGAACACCTGGATTGATTCGAGTGGCGGGTAGGGACGTCCTGTTGTGTTGAAAGGGCTTCTAGATGTTGTTGATTGACTGAGGAAACTTGGAGGGCAATTGGAGAGGAAAGATGGGGGATCTCGTGGGGTAACCCTGCCCATGTTGCCGTGAACCGTACTTTCCAGTTACCTGATCAAAGGTTTTTAAATCTTCTTACTCCTTTCCCAGGGCGTAGTGGCGTAATATGTTCTGTCCTTGTCTTTCTGTACTAACCACATTACAATCTTCTTCTGCGGATGAGTTTATACGTCGATGTGCTACTGTGCTGTTTGCTCTGAAGACTACCATATGAAATGATGTCATTTACACTCCGGGCACCCGGCGTCTCGGCTGTCCTCAACCACGGATCCGTCTTCCATCTTCGGCTCCGCTCTGTCCGCTGCCGGCAAAATGCAAAGAGGCATCGGTCCCCGGCGCCGACAAATTTGTTAAAATGGTTGGCCGTCCGCACATTTCTTTTGAAATGCAATTTGTATATGGTTTACTCCGTATGGAAGTTTGGAAACTCTACATGGTGACGTTTTGTGATCCCCTGTGTCTTGAAACTAAAATATTGAACACATAACTAACCAGCCATGATGATTGATGGCTTTCTTTTCCGAGTGCGATAACTTGTCATGTACCGTATCCCATGCAATTATATCATAGTAGCAAAATCCATTATGAGGCTCTCGTTCGGAGATGTCCAAGTGAGTCGGCATAACATTGTTGAACAATATATCCCACAAGAGTTAGCGATTCGAGCATTGCACTAACCGTTTCCAGTTAGCCATTCGAGATTACATCCCGGTTCGTACACAGCCCTACGAACCTCATCTCGCATCAACTTACGGACAAATAATCCCACCGCGTTGGGACATTTTAGCACTTCTTATTGGCTTTGGTTTTTCGTATTCCTCTTGAATAGGAAACCTCATTCGATTGCTTGTCTTTGCGAGTTGCATGCTTCGCCCTTTCGACCCACGCTCTACGCAACCTGTATCGTATGTAGATAGGAGAGAATGTGAACAATCAGCAATTATGGAGATTCCAATATCGTTCAGGCTGCCTCCAAGATGGATAAATATCAGCAGATTTCATGCATGGATCTCGTTGAACTTCATGATTTAATATCCTCAGATACTCACTCAATCTCTTCGACCGTGAACGATACCTCAGCCTTTTGCTGGTACAGCTCTCGATCACCTCCTCTCACATTCTCCTCATCACTATGATCTCATTAGCTCGAAAGGCCATCAAGGCCAATCAGCAGCGTAAACAGGCGCAAACGAACCAAGCGCCAATGGAATTGCAAGAAACGGGGTCTGACGCTACGAAGCATGCACCTCAGCAACCGCAATGTCGACATATGGAAGCGTATGAATCTTCGTCTGGGAAATGTGCTGCATGTGCATCAGAAAAGAAGGCTGCAAGGATATATCGATGGAAGATTATCCTAGGCCTAGTGGCACCCTTTGCCCTCCAAGCACTCGACTCTACAATGTATGAAAAGATGCGAAAGTTGCAGAATGAAACTGACACTTTGAAACAGCATCGCCAGTGCCCTTCCATGGATTGCGTCGGACTTCGGGGAGATATCACAGCTCAACTGGATTGTCTCAGCATTCAACCTCACATCTGCGGCATTCATCCCCTTCTGGGCTCAAATGGCTGATGTATTTGGTCGCAATGCTTCTATCAATGCTGCCATTATTCTCATGCTCATCGGTAGTGCGCTGTGCACTGGGGCCCCTACGAATGCCTTCCCAGTTCTGCTCCTTGGTCGTGGATTTCAGGGACTCGCCGCGGCTGGCCTCAATGTCGTTGTTCGCACTATTCTTGCTGATAGAGTTTCTTTGCAAGAAAACGCAAAGAACTGGGCCATCTTCTCACTCGTCGGTGGTGTCTCGTACGGACTTGGCCCAGTCATCGGTGGTAAGACCATACCAAGTCTAGTCTACTCTTTGAATCCAGCTAACATCAGCTTAGGGTACCTCACAAATGCTGACTGGAGATGGTGCTTTGCCATCAACCTCCCTATTGCCGCCGTCGCTCTGGTCATAGTCTTCTTTGTCCTACGCAAGGAGCTCCTCGGTCCTCAGCCCATCCCTGAGCTCAACGAGACCGCTGAAACTGGCCGACGAACGAAATTCGTCGCTCGACTCAAGACTGTTGATATTGGTGGCCAGCTTCTTTTCATCTTTGGCTTTGGTCTCGTTATCTTGGCTTTGACTTGGGGCGGTGCGACATATTCTTGGTCATCACCCGCTGTCATTGTTCCTCTGGTGCTTGGTATCATCTTTGCCGGCGTTTTCTGCTACTGGGAGTATCTTCTTGCTCCTGGAAATACCATGGCCGAGAAGCTACCCTGGCAAAGAGCAATGCTCCCTTGGGAACTAATCTCAAATCGTGATATTGGACTTCTTTTCTATTGCGAGTGTGCCACAGGAATTGGCATGTATGCTGTGAGATTATCATTTACCGTTGGTCGTTCCCTTGCTGACTTTTTCAGGTGCTCTATTTTTGTAACATTTACTTCATTGCAGTCAGAGTAAGTGTTATTCAAAATCGCACACGACTCTCTTGCTAACGGTTTTCAGGGCTACGACTCTGACAAGGCTGGTGTCCAACTTCTCTACTTTGTCCCTGGTCTTGGAGGTTCGTTCCATATGATGTTTGTAACTCGAACTACGTACTGATACCTTCATAGTCGGTGTTTATATCTGCTCCTTCATGTGTAACAAGTGGCCTCGCATGACGTTTCCCTGTATCTTTCTAGGAACACTCATCGAAGCTGTCGGTCTGGGCGTCCTTGCTTGGGCTATCTACGCGAACAGACTGAGCGTCATCTATGGAATGATGGCCCTTGTTGGTTGCGGCAGTGGTATGCGTTTCATGGCTTCGCCACTTCACGGCATTGGTCTTTTTCGACACTTGCGCGCCTCCGTCATTGGACTCATGGCAGTTGCCATCCCTTTTGGTGGTACTATCGGCTTGACTATCATGTCTACAGTCTTCAACAACACTTCTGGGCTGGACTCGCATAGCGACTTCAGCAGCGTACATTCTTCGTCTGGTGGTGCAGCAAATGAACAGGCTGTTCATCAAGCCAAGATGGGTGTTGTCTGGGCGTTTGTCGCCATCACTCCTCTCGTCGCACTGGTAAGTTTTCGGTTTTTTTTTCTCATGCCTTGGGTGGGAACTAATTCAGGATCAGGCATTCCCAATTACTTGGTTCATTGGAAACGTCAAGCTTGGACAAGGTCCCCCTGGAGAGGATGGTCCTACGGACATCGTGGTGAAGGGTTCGTATCTACTCAAGCTAGTACGAGGTCAGGAAAAGTTGAAGATCGAGAAGAATGCATACAGGCTCAACAGCTCGCATAGTGGAGCATGGTCAGAAGCTGTAGCTTCTGATCAGAGCGTCAACGCCTCGAGACCCTTGCAGGGTTCTCATCAGGTATAAGCCCCTGGGAAGGTCGAGAGATGAAGCTTCAAGCAGGTAGAAGATGCTAGAGTTGGACATGATTTAGCGTTTTGAATTTCCTATATGAATATAGAACTGAAATAGACTCAATCATCGTCGTTCAGGCTCATGCCTTTAGGTGTATTGAGCCATCACTGTCGTATTTGCATGCAGTCCCAGAATGTGATTCAAGTTACTAATTTGTCATATGCTGTGTAATCTTTTAATATTTTCTATAGATACAAGAATATATCTCGAGCTTCTCTCAACTATGGGTCTTTCTCTTAGCCACTGGTGAAGGGGTAGGAGAGGTTCCCAGGCGGCATCACTCTCGGTAAGGAGATAATCGAATAATCTAAATTATAGAAGAAGCTAAGTTTCGAAGGGCCTTGTGTTTGAATGAGTACCAGAATCCAAATTCTTTGAAATCGCCGAGGGATGAAGATGAATGTTCATATCCGCGAATCACCAACGGCTTGCGCGTATCTGGATCCAATTTGAAACCAAACAGTGATTCGCCGAGATAGTGGAAGTTCGCGGAGATAAATGGCCTGACCTTGAATCTAGGAATTATTGCAGGGAAACTCTCCCTTTTCTTCACTTCTCTTCACCCCACTAACCATCACAGATCATTCGCTTTGTCATTCTTTTGAATCCTCTACAATCAGCTCGTATCGTATCGTCTAGGCCACCTCTTTGAGCCGATTGACCGATACCCTTGTAACTAATAATAAATATGAGCGATATCAGTACCGAGGAAGAGCAGAGCCCAAATCCGACGTTTTGGCTCGAGTTTCGCACTTTTGATGATGGTCTCTCCTCACAAGTCAACTCGTCATCCACTCTCACCGCATTTCCTCAATTCGCACAACTACCGCCTGAGCTGCGTCTACGAATATGGTCATGCCTCATTCAACCCCGCATTATCGTCGTCTGCTGTCTTCAGCGCGACGAACGGCTTGATCAAAGACTTGATGAACTAAATCAGCGGTCGCGTGGCAGATCGGTGCCTGTATTGTTGCACATCAACCGCGAGGCGCGATATCTAGCCTTGCAGCATTATGAGCTTGCCTTTGGCTGGCGCATATCCAAGCTCCTTTCAGACACGCCCGTATCTGAACCGCCGCGCGTGTGGTTCAATTTCGCCCTTGACGCTGTATATCTTGCAGGTGAACTAGAGGCGTATGACATCTACGGCTTCAACTCGGCAATGGTGTATTTCTTACGACGGGAAGACACCCGCAGGGTCAAGCATCTCGCCTGCGTGCTCTCGGAGCTCGGCTATGCAGAACAGGAAAGTGATCAGGTGTTTGGATGCTTGTGGCACGTTGTCGATGGTTTTCCTGCTGCGAAGAAGGTCCTGCTGGTCGTAGGCGAAAAGGATGAGGAGGCTTTGAAGGGAAGTAAGTTGTTGAGCACAGATAACGTGATGCAGAAGATATGGAATGGTTTCTTGGGTGGATCAGCAACCGAGACGAGTTCGAGGATGGCGGATAAGTCAATGCTTATGATCGAAGAACACGATCTGCCGGGGTTCATTGCGAGGCAATGAATAGCCTGGTCTTGAATATAAGCGAAGTAAATAGACGAGAAGAACCACATAGATACCTCAGTCTGTAGGTAGTCTCACATGAGCTCTGCCCCCATTGGATGCTCTTACCTAGCAAGTACCGACAGGGGACGGGAAGACTATATGTTTTGGATGGATCTTGACGTGTGGGGACGGTGTAGGTATATTTAGAATAGAGCTTTCGAGACTTATATCAGTTGCGTTGCATATGCCATTACTGTTCCAATGTGTGGTTGCTTCGTGTGCAACGGATCACTGCTATAGCTTGATAGCAGTTTACAATGTCAGGCTAACTTTTAGCAAATACCTTGAGCTTATGCCCCTAGATCCAGTTCATATTTACCGTTCCTTGACGTTGAGTAGTGAACTCTAAACACAATCAGGTGTCTGATAATGTCGCGGTTGAGGCATCACAATGATGAACAATTGGCTGGCTATAGTTATAGCCTGAAGAAGCATATTCGAAAAGAGTCACACCGAATATTACAGCAACAATTCGAAAACCTATGTGCCCCATCTCGATCTATCACAGGGAAATCAGCAGACCTGAGGATGTCTTTCATCATAATGCTGTCTAAATATCCCAAATCGGGTGTTGGAAGCTCCAGGGTAGATGCAAGTCAGAAGCGAGGATCCAGCCTACCTAGAGGAGGAAAGAAAACTCAGGACTTTAATCCTAATTGACAAAAAGACTTAGTAACTTAGCATAAGTTTAGGGTGTATTTACTAAGCTTAAAATGCCTTTTACTCAATTTATTTTGACAGCCCATATTAAGGTCCTGCGTTTTCTTGCTCCCCAGGGCCAGCTAACCATGCACACAGAGAAGCCGGTTTCTAGATGGAGCTAATCACGACATGGAACCCCACATACGATCCAATTGTTTGGGGTCGCCTCCAAGCGAGAACAGAAGCGGCGAGGCAATTGACCCATAGTTAGAGAAGGCAGAAGAATGAGGAAGACAGTGAAATGAGGCGATTGCAAACAACAGCTGGAACCACGATTTCCCTGTCAGGATGAGCTGTTGTGCTCTGAGCTACCTGTCTACCAGTTGTACCTAAGCTGTAAGGCACAGTTGGTGGCTTGATGAGGCTGCCGCTGTTAAACCCGAAGCCCAACGACGAGACTGATTACACATGCAATAGCTTGAACTGGGCCTCAGGGGTTCTGCCGGTTGCCTGACAACCAACATGCCCAGATAAAAAGCTAACTGGGCAGAGGGGCCCTCGAATTCCTACGCCACGCCTCAGCCCTGGGGTGTTGCGAGCCCAAGTGGATTCGCAGAGGGCCGTGGAAGCGCTAGGAAGACGAGGTCAGCTTGTTGAAAAGATGGAGGCAACGGAAAGGAAAGACAACAAAGGAAGAGTTTGGAGATTTGGATCCACCCGGAGAAAAATAACGGGGTCAACTGCGTAAAGATCATATGCTTTCATCACGGTTATCGACTTACGGCGAGCAATTGAGCTTCAATGTTGGCTGGTTGTACAAGGTCATATCGATTTCAGCCTGATAGACTAGTCTATCTATGATCGAGATACAGGCAGGGTTGTTGGCGATGATGAATCCCGCAGTAAGCATTGGTCACTGTACATGCTTGGGAGGTAGACATCTGACTGAGAGACGCTATGCGATTGATGTATTCAGTCAACGGCCATGGCACTGTGAGAAGATAACGTATGATACTACTGTAGACGTGGACCACTATTGAAGCATCACCAAGCAGGAAACAGGCCTGCCGCATCGCGAATACACGCTGTGCAATCCAATCAGTTGAGCTGACTCAGGTAGCGGTAGCCAACACATGGACACCCGCCAATGGATACCAAGGCAAGGCATCAAAGAACTGATCTCTCTCTGGTTGGAGGATAGGCGCATGCTTGACTGTTTCGGAGCAAATATCGATAAGCCGACTTTGCCAAAATTATCAGAATTTTCCTAGTGATTGCCACAACATTATCTAGATTCCGTTATGACGCTCCATGATGAAGAGGCAATCTAGAGTTTTCGCAGTGCTAAACCCCAGCGAGAGAAGAGCGACACAACATGAGGGAGCGCCGTCTGAGGAGGGGCACGAAGAGGGAGCTACCCGTCCAATGAGGTCGATTGGTGGGGAAAAGTAGTCAATACGGATGTCGAGGTGATGTCTGCACTGTAAGGAATGTAACCAGGACATGAAGCTCCAACCCCTGCCCGGATGCCCCGCGCTGGAAGATTTGGGAAGCAAAAAGTTTATGAGGACATGACATCAGTGAGATGAGAGCACAGGACAATCAGGCACAGGACACGGGATACCAGGAGAAGCTGTGAGATCTAGAGAGAAGAGACGGAAGCTACGGGAATAAACACGATGAGCTCTTGTGTCTTGATACCTCAATCAGGAATCAGCCAGAAGCAATCAAAGATCCATCTCAGGTTGCGCATCGTTTGGGAGACGCAATTTTTTAGTGGGGCAAACCCAGATCTGCCTGTCTGCCAGGTGCACGCATCTGCTAGACGCTTCTTCAGACCCCTCGCCCCTCCAAAGCACGCCCCCCAGCAACGCCTAGCAGCGCCCAGAAAGTGGTAGACCCCCCTGCAACACCAGAGAAGCTCTCCAAAGTGGGCTCCTTTGGAACAGCGCAGAACCGCATCGAACCTTGGCACCCGCCTTTATTTAGATCCTTTTGCTCAACTTGCTCTGTTCCGTCTTTCTTTCTCACAACATCATCACACTCAAATACCCTCTCAAAAGTCTTCAAATACCCACGATCCTCCATTGAAGCAACTGCGATTTTCTTTTCCTTTTTCCCCTCCTACTCTACGACATAATCTTCACCCATTCTACACACAACACCACACACATCACACAATATGGCTCCCGCCGTCGGTATCGATTTGGGTACCACGTACTCTTGCGTGGGTATCTTCCGTGAGGACCGGTAAGTTTTATACCAAAAAAATCCATTATGAGTTGCATTAGGATCATGACGCTAACTATTTTCCCCAGATGTGATATCATCGCCAACGACCAGGGTAACCGAACTACCCCCTCATTCGTCGGTTTCACCGACACCGAGCGTCTGATTGGTGATGCCGCCAAGAACCAAGTCGCTATGAACCCTCAGAACACTGTCTTCGACGCCAAGCGATTGATCGGTCGCAAGTTCGCCGACGCTGAGGTTCAGGCCGATATGAAGCACTTCCCCTTCAAGATCGTCGACAAGGGTGGCAAGCCCAACATCGAGGTCGAGTTCAAGGGCGAGACCAAGACCTTCACCCCCGAGGAGATCTCTGCTATGATCCTCACCAAGATGCGTGAGACCGCTGAGTCCTACCTCGGCGAGACTGTCAACAACGCCGTTGTTACTGTCCCTGCCTACTTCAACGATTCTCAGCGTCAAGCCACCAAGGATGCTGGTCTCATCGCCGGTCTCAACGTTCTCCGAATTATCAACGAGCCTACTGCTGCCGCCATTGCCTACGGTCTTGACAAGAAGGTTGAGGGCGAGCGCAACGTCCTGATCTTCGATCTTGGTGGTGGTACTTTCGATGTGTCTCTCCTTACCATTGAGGAGGGTATCTTCGAGGTCAAGTCCACCGCCGGTGACACTCACTTGGGTGGTGAGGACTTCGACAACCGTCTGGTCAACCACTTCGTAAACGAATTCAAGAGAAAGCACAAAAAGGACCTGAGCACCAACGTCCGCGCCCTGCGACGTCTCCGAACTGCTTGCGAGCGTGCCAAGCGAACACTTTCTTCCTCTGCTCAGACCTCGATCGAGATCGACTCTCTCTTCGAGGGTATTGACTTCTACACCTCTATCACCCGTGCTCGTTTCGAGGAGCTTTGCCAGGATCTTTTCCGATCCACTATCCAGCCCGTCGACCGTGTCCTTACCGACGCCAAGATCGACAAGTCCCTCGTCCACGAGATTGTCCTCGTCGGTGGATCTACCCGTATCCCCCGTGTCCAGAAGCTCATCACCGACTACTTCAACGGAAAGGAGCCCAACAAGTCCATCAACCCCGATGAGGCTGTTGCCTACGGTGCCGCCGTCCAGGCCGCGATTCTCTCTGGTGACACCTCCAGCAAGGCCACCAACGAGATCCTGCTTCTCGATGTCGCCCCTCTCTCTCTCGGTATCGAGACCGCTGGTGGTATGATGACCAAGCTTATCCCCCGCAACACCACCATCCCCACCAAGAAGTCCGAGGTTTTCTCCACCTTCTCCGACAACCAGCCTGGTGTTCTTATCCAGGTCTACGAGGGTGAGCGTCAACGCACCAAGGACAACAACCTTATGGGCAAGTTCGAGCTCACTGGTATCCCCCCTGCCCCCCGTGGTGTTCCCCAGATTGAGGTTACCTTCGATCTTGATGCCAACGGTATCATGAACGTCTCCGCCGTTGAGAAGGGCACTGGCAAGTCCAACAAGATTGTCATTACCAATGACAAGGGCCGCCTGTCCAAGGAGGAGATTGAGCGCATGCTTAACGATGCTGAGAAGTACAAGGAGGAGGATGAGGCCGAGGGCAAGCGTGTCGCTGCCAAGAATGGATTGGAATCGTACGCGTACTCTCTTCGCAACACCCTCTCCGACCCCAAGGTCGAGGAGAAGATCGAGGCTAGCGACAAGGAGACTCTCACTGCCGAGATCGACAAGGTCGTCCAGTGGCTCGACGACAACCAGCAGGCTACTCGTGAGGAGTACGAGGAGCACCAGAAGGAGCTCGAGGGCAAGGCCAACCCCATCATGATGAAGTTCTACGGAGCTGGTGGTGAGGGTGCTCCTGGTGGCATGCCCGGTGGTCCCGGTGGTTTCCCTGGTGCTGGCGGCCCTGGTGGTGCTCCCGGTGCCGGTGGTGACGATGGTCCCACCGTCGAGGAGGTCGACTAAATTCTTTGATACCCCAACATCAGTCTCGACTTCTAGAGTTGTCTTGTGTCGAATGGTACAATGCGGAGGCTAGGGGTCTCATGGGATGATATGATGCGATTAGATTT